CAGCACTGGCCGGGCTGGGAGTTTTTTTAATTTAAAAAAAATACCAAAAACCTACTGTGAATTTTACACTAGCTTTTAAGAGTGAAGAACCTGCTATTCCAGGATAGGGCACACATTTATGCATGATCTTAAAGGCTTGTGTGTGGGGGATGGGGGGAGTGGGTGGAAATAGGCTCAGGGACCCAAATATTCTGAGAACCCCAAGGCCTGTTGAGCGGGGAGAAAGTGAATGATCCTCTATGGATAGGAGGTCAAATGTACTATAAATAACTGGTGAGCTAGGGGGACAGAGCACCAGAATAACCTATACCAAGGGTGGGCTCCTTTTTGTGAGTGGGTGCCAAAACCAGCAAAATCTCTGACTCAAAATTCTTCTGTGTGCCAACCCTAATTTTTTGAGAACATGTTACACCTACTTGATATCTCTTAAGGTTACGTATGTGAAGAACCTTGAAGAAATCATAAAATTCATTTGAGCGACAAAAACACAGTATATGATGATGAAAAATACATTTATTTTTTAATGTTTAATGTACACTGATTGTCCGACAGAAAACTTTATGACTTCGTTTGATATTTTCAGTGGGACTTTTGCTGCTGCATCATTGATGACAGAGATTTTACATCAGGTTTATATTTCGTGACCTTCAGAAATATGCACAAGCTACTACTTTCATCCATCAGGCTACTCCTACTATGAGACTTAACAAAATTCATCACTGAGAACAAAGATTCACAAGTGCATGTGGATGAGAACATGGAGAGTAACGCTGTTGCAGCTTTTTAAACAGAAAAAATTTTCTGCAATGGCATTCCAAGTCCTCAATAGATCGTTTTCGACAGTATTGACATTGCTCTTCCCCTCTCTTGTCAATCCATGTCTATGGTCTTTAAGATAACTTTTTATGTAAAATTATTTAACTAAGATGCACCTACACTGAACTTACCTGAAAAATAAAAAAGTCGATATTAAGAAAAAAATTGTAAATGGAAGTGTTAGGTCAGAGAGAGCCCAGGATCAGATACATGAAGACATGTGATGAGACAATGGACTTCCCCTGGAATTTCTCACAGATCAGCGTGCCAGACAGATAGTGGCTTCTCCCTGACGGCCCCCACACAGATACTGACTCCTTCCTGAATACCTTGCTGACCCCCTGCAGCTGAAACTTCCTCAGCTAGATACCTCCTCACCCAACCGCAGTATAAAAAAAGCGCCCCCCTCCCTGTTGGCGTGAATCCACGTGCCCTGTCTTTGGAGTACGTGGGTCTCCCGGGGATGCAGAAATAAACCTTTCCTTTTCTTTTCTTTTCTTTTCTGATTCACTCGACTCTTTATTTCTTATGCTGCCTCCTGAGCCACCTAACCTAACATTTGGTGCCTTGAAACCTGGGTGGCATGAGCACCTCATTTGGCCGTCCCTCTGCAGCTTGGGGTGCCTGCCTCTTCCTCCTTGTGGCTCTGGACCCATCAGGACCTCATCTCTTCAGCTCAGCAACTTTTCCCAGTTTGGCAACATCAGCAGTGAGTCCCGTTCCACCCCTGTGCCGGTCCCAGGTGGCCACCTTCCCGCCGGCATCTCTGTCCATAAAACGTGGCCGAGTCAGAGATTGCCTATTTCCGGACCCTTCCAGGAAGGCTCCTCTGGACCTGGGAAATAGTGGAGACGTCCCTACATTCCCTGGCCCAATCGTCCTTCCGTAGCGTGGGTTAAACTGCTGGGACGCCAGCCTTTGGCCCCTCTACAGGCCACGGGATCAAGCACTGGGCGAATCCAAATTCCAAACCTGACCTGAGCACACCTCTAGGGTGCCGGCTCACCGATCTGGCTAAACACTATGCCTGCCCCAGAACTGCGTCCTATTTCTGTAATGTAGCATGGCCTCAGTCTGAAAACGGGACCTTGACTTTACCATCCGCACCGATCTCAGTAATTTCTGCCAGCGAACTGGGAAATGTGCCCAAGTCTCTCTCTCTCAGTCTCTCTCTCCACCCAGTCTGCGTCCCCATCCCTTCCCCCCACAGTTCCTTCTGTGGTCTCTCCTTGCCTGGTCCTTCCTCCTCCCTCTGGGCTGTCCCTGCACTGCCGCGCGGCCTTGCGTACCTCTGAGCCCGCGGTGTCTGTGGTGCGTGTGGGGGTGGGTTCATGTGGCGACGGCACTGCCATCGTCTCCGCGTCCTCCAACCCCCACCCTCCACCGGAGACCCCCCGGAACATCCCCTGGCAAAAGCCGCCTGTTCTCCCACCAGCCTCTGTGCCCCTGTCCATCCACACTCTCCCCTCCTCCCTGCCAGACCCTCCTCCAGCCTCACCTTCTCGGCAGCCTCCTGACCCCGCCTCCCTTCTTCCACCCGCCCTACGGAAGCCAAAAACTCAAAAGGCCTGGACAACAACCCCACGCCCATGCACTCAAAAGGCCTGGACAACAACCCCACGCCCATGCACGCTGCCGCTGTGTGCACTGCACCCTCGTCCTCAGGCTTGGACACACACACACGGGTCTGTAGTCTCCACATTACTTCTGTCTGTCCTCCCCTTTTCCCCGCCCCCGGGAGGTTGTGACTTTTAACTACAATTGAGAAGCAGCTGGTGTCTTTCTCTGCCAACCCCACTGCGTTCAACAAAGAATTCCGGTAACTCTCCCACGCCCACCCAGGCCACCTCTCCCGCTCTCTCCCCTCCCCTTACAGGCCTGCATAGTAACCTGTACCCCATGCAGTACCCTCTATAAATTCTAATTGCCTGCCTTCCTCTGTGCGCTCCACCGAATCTCCTCCCTCATGACTGCCAACAATTTAATTCACAGGTGGCCGGCCAGTTCCCTTGGCGAGAGGTTGCAGCTGGGCTCTCTTCAGACCCTCTTAACCAGCAGCTTCTTTCTCCCCTATCCCTGAAAGCCCAAATCCTGAGAACGTTAGCTCCAAAACAGCCTCTTCCCTCATACCCCGGTCCGAGATCAAGTGAAAAATGGCCTTGAAGGTTCTTAATGCCCGTGAGGAGCAGGCACAGTCAGAATGGCAGGCCTGCCTTCCACAGAAGGTAGATCTGCAGACACGCCTTGGTTTTGGCCCTGAGGTCAATGGCAGCCACGCATGGCCCTAAGGGGGCTGTGCCCAGTGGGGTGCAACAAAAGGAACGCCACCAGAGAATGCTTCAAATGCAGAGATGAAGGCCACTGGGCAATGCAGTGCCCCCAGCCCCGGGCTCCAACCAAGCCCTGCCCAGCGTGTGGTCAAAGCTGCCACTAGAAAAGTGACTTTCCCTGGAAAGGTGGCGGGCCCTCTGCACCCCAGTGTGGAGGGGCCACCCTTCCAGGTCATGACCCACCGCTGGCCATGCTGGGACTGGCTGAAGACTGAAGATGCCCAGCCCCGACGGCCCCCACCACTATCGCCGAGCCCAGGGCTGCACTGAAGGCAACAGGTCACCTTCCTGGTCGACATGGGGGCTACCTACTCTGTCCTGCCCTCCTTTTTAGGGCCCCTTTATCCTTCCAAGATCTCGGTCATGGGTATTGATGGCAAATCCACCTGCCCGCTGGCGACCGGACCCCTTCCCTGCCTCCTTGATGATAGCATGCCCCGTGCCCCTTTTAGGACGAGATATTCTCACCATCCTAGTGGCCACTCTGCCCTTCAGCCTCCCTGCTCCTGGCCCCCTTTACAGGGATGACGATCATCCACTGCCATGAGGCCCCTTATGGGGCCCTGTTGTCCCAGACCTCAGTCTCACCTACCTCAGTGGCCTACCTCAGTCTCGCTGTGAACACCTTATCTCCTTATCTCCTCCACGACTGTCCCCTTTTCTTAACTGAGAACTACTCTGACCTCAGCACCTTCTCGCCCCATCCCGCTCCACCCTTCCCAAAGGAAAAAATGCAGCAGTTTTATAATCCAAGCTGCTAGAGGCCTGGAAACAGGCTGCACGACCTGCTCCCTCCCTCCCCGCCTTTTCTCCAACCTCCAGATCCCTGGCTTCCACTGCTCTGTCCCTTTCTCTTTTCCCTTGCATAACAGCACATTCTAACATGTCCTCTCACTTTCACTGCAATACCTACCTCTCTCAGGCTCACCAAATGCCTCCCACCATCCCTGAAGAAGATTTGGCGACACCAGCCAGGACCTGATGGATGACCCATCATTCCTCACAGGCTCTTACCTGGCAAGGGGCCCTCCACTTTTGCTCAGTTTTTTTATATTTTCAGGTGAAACGGACATGGTATGATGAGCGAGTCATCAATTCTACTGTCTGGGATGGGAAATCCTCTAGTGTCACTCTCTATTTACGAACCCTGGACCTACTCCTATGCCCACCCTCAATAACACAACTTTCCATCTACTCTCCAACATCAATCCCTCCTCTTCTACATCCTGCTGGATTTGTCTGCCACTGGCTCGAACCCTCATCATAGCCATTCAACTCCAACGAATTGGACCATCTAACTAAACTCTCTCTAGAAATTCACAGCTCCTGGCCAGACCTCCTGCCCATGGCCCTGACCAAACTCTGCTACACCAAGGAGCCCCGCCTTCTTAAGTCCTTTTGAACTCCTATATGGGAGACCCTTCTTGCTCAACCACCGTCTCCTTACTGATCCCGCTCCCCTGGGAACCTACATCCACAAGCCTTGGAGCCTAGGTGGACGGGACCTCACATCGTGATCCTTACAACACCCACCGCAGCCAAGCTGCTCGGTGACCCATCGTGGCACCACCTCTCCAGGCTCAAGAGGACTCCGGAGAAGCATGACTTCTGTAAATGTGAGGTGTTGGGCCCCACTAAAGTCCGCCTTAGCCGCCCACCCCCTCCTCCTCCTCCTCCTCCTGGCCCTGAGCAACCTACACCAACCCCTACGTGCTTATGTGTGGAGGTTCAAGGTCCATGAAACCTACCACCAGAACGGCAAACAAGTCACCCAGCAGGTAGGATCTCAGGATTGCCCCCTGGTCAGAGGCCAGACAGGGATCAGGGTGACTGTCGACATCCGGTCAGTATACAATGGTGGCTGACCCTATGCCTGTTTTGCTTATGACCAAGAGGACCCAGATAGGTGTAATCAAGATGTTGACACCTATGGGGGTTGCCGCTGGAGAGACTGTGTTGTCAATGATGCCTACAGGGGTGGCTCCTTTATCGGGGAGAAGGGGGCCTTCCACATCATAATCCGAGATCCCTGAGACCAGCAATGGGTTACAGGTGTTGTTGGAAAGCTACACTTAAGTAGTTGGAGCTCAACCCCTTCAGGGACCATTTACATCTCCCGGGAATATGACCTGGCCCAAGAGGCCCAAGTCCAGGTCTCCAACAGCATCCTACAGGCCGAGCAGTCCCTTAAAGGGAAGCTGCCTGACTCCCCCCAAGTAGAAGTCCTGTCTTCTTGGCTCCAACTTATTCAACGCACCCTACTATTCCTCAATGAGACCCACACCCTGCCCAACGTCTCCCACTGCTTTCTATGCACCTCTCTCCAAAGGTCTTTGCTGGCTGCCGTCCCACTCACGACTTCTCCAAGAACCCAAGGGAAAGGTGAATGTCAGCCTCCTGTGGCTGGCATTCCCCTTTGTGAACCTGAAACTCCAGAGCCCACCCTGCCCCCACGGATATGTTACCAGACCAGTAATCCAGTAATCGGAGGGCGAGTCACTTGGAACTGCACCCAGAACTACATCGCATCCAGTCACACCAAGGCCAGCCTGGGTAACTTCTTTTGGTACAACGGCATCTTAAGCAACTGCATAAACTCCTCTGACCCCAGTCCTTGCTTCGTGGTCATGGTAGTTCCCCAACCTAACCTTGTATGGAGAGTCGGAGCTCACCTGGCTGCTCCCTCCATCCAGCCCCCAGGCCCGCTAGGCCGCCTTCCTCCCTGTCACTGGAGTATAGCTACCTCCATAGGCCTTGCGGGAGGTGGAGGGGGGTTCCTCAGGATTAGTCTGGTCATGGCTCAGGACTTTAATGACAAGCTCCAGTTAGCCCTGGAGTCCACTACTGCTTCTTTAGCATCCCTACTGCGACACATAACATCAATAGCCCAAGTAGCCCTACAGAACCAGAGCACCTTAGACCTTCTGAGTGCAGAAAGAGGAGGAACCTGCATATTCCTTCAGGAAGAATGCTGCTACTACATCAACGAGACCAGAGTAGTGGAGTAAAACGTACAGACCCGGACTAAGCTGAGTGAAGAACTACATGCAGGACACTTCCAGGACAACTCTCCTTTCAGCTGGTTCCAAAGCCCCTTAGCTACCTGGGTCCTACCCAGGGTAGGGCCCCTGATTCTCATCTGTGTCTTTTTCCTCCTAGCCCCCTGCCTCCTCAAGTTCATCCACTCCCGGATTGCGGAGATGTCACGGGTGACTGTGAATCAGCTCCTGCTTCATCCCTACACTCGGCTCCCCTCCGACCTGCCTCTACCTAACCCTGGCCTTTAAACGACCCCCCCCCAACGTCCCTGTTCAACTGGAAGTAGCCAGAATGAGTCGGCGTCCCCTATCACCAAAGGCCAGGATGTTAGGAATTTCTCACAGATCAGCATGCCAGACACAGATACTGGCTTCTCCCTGACCACCCCCACACAGATACTGACTCCTTCCTGAACACAGATACTGGCTTCTCCCTGACCACCCCCACACAGATACTGACTCCTTCCTGAATACCTTGCTGACCCTCTGCAGTATAAAAAAAGCCCCCCACCCCCTTAGTGTGAATCCAAGTGCCCTGTCTTTTGGGTACGTGGGTCTCCCGGGGATGCAGATATAACCCTTTTCTTTTCTGATTCACTCGCCTCTTTATTTCTTACGCCGCCTCCTGAGCCACCTAACCTAACAGGAAGATTATAAGAGAGGGTTTCAAGTGCCAGCAAAAGTTACTGGTGTGCTCTCTTTGGCACGCGAGCCAGGGGTTGCCCACCACTGCCCTATACCCCTGGGAGAGGAGGTGTCTGCCAGTTCTCAGGGACTGAATGTATTGGGGAAACAAGGGAGAGAAGACCTCTTCACCTGGTTGGACCACACTGCTGCTTGAGGAAGTATTGGCTTCCCCAGGGATTCCAGCTTCAGCCCTGCTTTTCTTGCCTATGGCCCTTCTTATTTGCATATAAATACTTGACTATTTACACTTTCATTCCTTACACCAATTCTAGAGGTAGCTATGAACTGACACATTTGCAATACATGTTTAATTAGGCAGAAGATGGCCTTGCTCTGTGAAGGTATCAGGCGCTAGTATCCCCACCTGTGTCAGAAGCAGACTCGGAAGTGTCCATCCTTAAGGAATCAGCAGATTTACTCCGCTCCCTGGAGTAAGACGAAGACAAAGGTCAAGGCTTTGACTCTTGAAAGATACAATTAAACTATTCATTATTTCCTCGTTTTAGATAAGAATTCTAAGTGTTCCCAATTATTTACGTCTTCAAGAACGGTTCCTGCTCCTGTGCCTTCTGCTCCCCCTCCTTGCTATTCTTCCTGCCAAATACATGCTTCAGCGTAAACAACCTGTTGCTAGAAAACAGATGGGGAGACATGAACTCTACGTTTCCCCTGCTTTTTCCCGCCACAGTACTTTGTCCTCCTCAAATTTACCTCTATATCAATGTCAGACGAAGATGTGAATCTGGAGAAAAGGCTGCTTGGAGGAAAATACATACCAATAGTTAGTGATTCATGCCATTCTCCATGTCTCTCACACATATAGTTCTGGTCTTATTCGGACTAATTGGGTACTTGGGTCTATATTCCTGAGCAAAATCACCACACACCTGGGACCTTGAAAATGATTCCTTGCATGCTGGGCTTCCAATTCTCTGTGACAGTTTAAAATGGCCCTGCAATGTCTCTGGGAGACCTATGTATGTAGCTTCGCATAGGATATAGGCAGGGTTTTCAGTGTGTTACTGCATTTTTAAGCATGTGCAGTGTGGACAAAAGGGATCACACCTAACCAGACAAGCTCAGGGGAGGTCTGCATGGCAGTCTTGCAGACTCAGAGACCTAAGGTAACCACAAAAGATGGTCTGAAAATTAAGTATTTAACTACACACAGGTTATAGTGGGTTCTCATGTCCTAGGCCAGTGTTTTCCCTGACAAAGATCAACTTAGCTCTTTACTGAGCCCATTTGTCTTCTTGCCTCTAAGATAACATATCTGTGAAATGTCTGGGTAACTTGTAAATTCCTCTTTTTTCTGGACCTTTCAGGGTGCAACAAATAGCACCAAGACATTCCCTCATTGTTATGTTATCAAGTTAATCGTCAACTGTTAATTATGTTGAACTGTCCTGTATCCATCTATGTAAAAGCAGCACATGTCCATCATTTCACTTTTTCTCCTATCCCAGAGGTTTTCCTGCTTTGCTTTATCCCACCTCCTTAATCTATCACCGGTGGATTTCATGTAATCCACCTACATCCCTTTCCTTTGATTGCAATGTATAAATACAGATGTAACCCGCCATTCTTTGGAGCATTACCTCAATTCCTAGAGGTTCTACTTCCCAGCATATGTTGACAGTTTGGCTCAAATAAACTCAAAAAAATTCTTTACAATGGTTTATTTACGTTAACAGCAGCAAAAATTCAGCACTCTTTGGGGTCACCAACCTGCACCCAATCCTGCACCCAGCCCCTCCATTGGAGCACGCCTACCAACTCCACCACTGTAATGACAGAATGGCACACATTGCTCCTATAAGGTGACATCCTTCAGATGCTTGGTGGTTTTCAGATATGCATACCCTTGATGACCTGTGTAGTTTTCACCAGTGTCCTTAAAGTGAACACAAAGGTTTAAATCTCTTGACTTTCGTGATTTTGTGGGGTTTTCTGACTCAAGTGAATAATTAGCCATTTTCTAAGGTCACCTCTGGCCTCTTACAGAAAGAGGAAGTTCCTCTCCTTAAAAAATTCTACTTTAAAAATCACCAGACCCATATTTACCTTGAGCTTCCCTTTTTCTGTAGCTTCCTTCGAAAAATCTATTTTGGAAGAAAACATCATGATTATTCATCAAAATGACCTCTAAAGCTTTATTCCTTCTCTTTTAAGTGAGATGATTAATTTTTTGAGGACAGAAACTCTGTCTAGTCCTTTGACTCTCCCATAGTCCTCACTTAGGACCTTGCATGCAGTTGGCAATGCATTTTATTGGCTGTTTCAGATAACATTCAGCAGATAATTCCCAATAAAAACTCTTAGAAGTAGCAAAGAAAATGAAAGTGCCTACCAGAAACCTACACAGCAGGTTTGTTTTAGGTCAAGAACAAGAGTAGGATGCCTGTTATTACTGATACTATTCATCATTGTTGAGGAGGTCCTAATTAATTTAATAGGAAAAATGAAATACTGGAAGGAAAGAGACAAAACATATTTGCACGTGAGATAATGCACAACCTAAAAAGCCCAAGAGCATAGATTAAAATTTTATTCAGTCAGATGGCTAAATCAAGACGTGCAAATCTCAACAGCTTTCCTACATACCACAAATAACTAATAAAAAAATGAAAGTGTCCATTTACAATATCAATAAAATGTATAATGGAATAAACTTAACAAAAAATGTGCAAGACCCATTAAAACTCTTCTGAAGGACTTTAGAAAGAATACACAAAGTGAGGTACCATGTTCCTAGAAGGTAGTAAAGATGCCAATTCTCCTTAAATTAATCTACAAATGCACTGTAATCCTATTCAAATTCCAAGATAAGTTTTAAACATAAACTGACCAACTGACATTTGGTAGAGAAAATATGCAATGAAATGTATGAAAAAGATAAAAAAGGAGGAGTTTAACTTCCAAAAAGGAGTTTAAAATGGAACTGGAATTATATAGTGACACAGGCCCTAGCCAGTTTGGCTCAGTGGATAGGGCATTGGCCTGCAGACTGAAGCATCCTGGGTTCCATCCTGGTCAAGGGCACATTCCCGGGTTGCAGGCTTGATCCCTAGCAGGGGATGTGCATGAGGCAGATGATCAATTGTTCTCTCATCATTGATGTTTCTATCTTTCCTTCCCTCTCCCCTCCTCCCTGAAAGCAATATACATAGATAGATAGATAGATAGATAGATAGATAGATAGATAGATAGATATAGATATATAAATATATATATATATATACTGTCTATATCATTATATATATATTGATACTGCTACTGATAGTTCTACTGGTACAAAACAAAGATAACTGGGTCAACAGAATACAGTCCACAGAAAGGTAAATTTCAGATCAGTGAAGAAAGAATGAGATCTTCAATAAAATATGTTAAGACAATTGGATCTTCATGTAGGGGAATAATAGTCAACCACAAGAAAAGCAAATAAAACCAATGATAGTTTTTTTTAATTTGAGAAAAAAAACCAAAATATTACAAAAAGGACTAGAAGAAAATATCAGACTACTTTCATACTGTGAGGTGACAAAGATCTCGCTAATAAAATCCACACCCTATAAACCAAGAGAATATCGACAGATATGGTGACAGTCTACACACAGCCTACTCTTCACAGCCCTTGCCCTCTTCCACCCTAGATTGTCTTCTTCCTGTTTAATTATGGAACTCTTTTTACATTAATTAACTTAATCCTTAGTGGCTTTCATTGAATTTCAATGTTTCAAATATTCCCCAGTGTTTCTTTTGTTGTTGTTAATCCTCACCTAAGGATATTTTTTCCATTGTTTTTCAGAGAGTGTGGGAGGGAGGGGGCAGGAGGGAAAAAAGAGAGAGAGAAATAGGAATGTGACAGAGGCACATCAGCTGGTTGCTTCCTGCATGGCAGGTGCCCTGCTACCCAGGTACCTGCCCTTGTCCTGGAATCAACCTGGGACCCTTCGGTGCTTGGACTGATGCTCTGCCTACTGAGAAACTGCGGTTATGGCCCCAGTGCTTTTGTCTTTAAGGAGACAGAACAGTGGAGTAGGAAGCACGGACTTCGCAGTCAGGCAGAACAGGGTCCTGCTTTTGCCTTTGCCACTGGGAGCTTAAGTCCATCTCCATCTATGGGAGAAGGTGGTACTATCTTCCTCACAGGATTGTGGGGATTGAATCACTCATGTATATGGAAAAATCTTCATCCTGTGCTTGGCATCAACCAGTGCTAAGTTTGCTAATGGTGTCACAGGCAAGGTGGTCAAATCTATCAAAGGTTCTGCCTGTGGTATCAGGCTCAAAAGCTGTTTCCCACCACCAGATTATAAATATATTGCTTCTGTTTTCTTCTGGTACTTATACAGGTTCTATTTTTTTTTTACATTTTGTAAATATGTTTGTTTAAGATGAGAATATAAATCTGCTATTATTTTCCCTCTCAAATAATTAGGTGGCTTTTCTATTCCCATTTTTCATTTTCTTCCACAGATTAGAATATTAAAATGTGACATTTCAAAAGTCTTAGGAACATATAGGGTGACGCCACTTGGTCTTTACACATCTCTTCTCTGCTCCATGATGTGTTCACCTAGGTATTTCTCTCTTGGGGAGGCACATTTTTAAAAATTGTTTACCATATTTT